TTAAAAAATAATTGCATATTAAATCGCAATCGCAATATTGGTAAAAAAAATCGCAATTACATTATTTTCCAAAATCGTTTAGCGTAGTTAGCCACTCATTTTGGTATTTGTGGCTCACAAGCTGTTTGAGACTGAGCGCGGCTTGTGCGATCCACTAATAAAGATCAGTGATGGAAACCTGCGGGATATCGGCTCGAAATCAGAAAGAAGTGAGACTGACCGGCCGGTCACCGTTCCGGGCCGACCATGAGAAAAATCGGCCGATTCCGATCCCTGGCCGATCGATCGGTGCATCTCTACTAATTTTTAGTCAATCATATAACTGTAAAAATACAGTCAATAAATTACTATAAAATAAAAATAAAGCACTTAGTTAAATTATAAAATAAAATAAAATGGAGCTCTTACTAAAATCAATGTTAAAATGAAACTAATAAATATTACATGTAAATAAGTCATGTAAATATTCAATATCAGAACCATGAACGTGCAAATGGCTGTTTTTAAATAATTTAAATACTAACTTAAAATCTCATGGGGACTTCTAGTTATTTTTCAGTCAAAGGGGTTTGTCTGACAAAATTTTGGGAATCCTCGCGCTCCTTTTCTACTGCTGTCTTTGATCAATGTAAATTTAGTTAGTTCAAACCCTCCCTTTGCAGGTATGCAAGGCCCGCCGCGTCCTCCCTCAGGTCCACCTGGGCCTCCAGGACCCCCTGGCCCCCCTCCACCTGGGCAAGGTCTGCTGCCGCCCCTCAGAGGTCCTCCCAACAGAGGAGACCGTCCTCCTCCACCCGTCATGTTTCCTGGTCAGTTTGGTCAGCCTCCTATGGGACCGATGCCTCCTGGCCCGCCCCCACCTGGATACGGGCCTCCCCCAGGCCCCCCTCCACTTCAGCAGGGACTGCCCCCTCCGGGACCCTTCCCTCCCCGTCCACCTGGGCCCTTAGGACCCCCGCTTGGCCTCGCACCTCCACCTCACATGCAGGGACCCCCGCCTGGAGGTCCACCTCCGGCCCCTCACGTCAACCCGGCCTTCTTCCCACCGCCTGGAAACAACAACATGCCATCGTCTGACAGCAGGGGCCCACCGCCGGGTGAACTGTTCGGCCGCCCACCTCCATACGACAGAGACTTCGGCCCTGGCGGCAGGTAATAAACACCTCACCATCACTGCACTGTAAATCTCACACGTAACGAGTTCTCAGGCCACACCGGTGGAAACAGAACTGGTTAGATTATATTTTAGGGCTGCACGATTTCAAAAATAATTTTAAATCTTTTTTTTTTTTTTCCTGATAAAACAGCGCGTTTATTTTATTTTTTGTTATTGTTGTTTTTTTGTAAAGCACAACAAGCTCCAGGTTTATTTACTGCTAAATGAAATTATTAAAGTAACACATTGTTCTGATATCATTAATGTCAATTATTTTAAAAAAAAAAATTTATTTTACAGGAATATTTAAGCTCCATGTTTGTAGGGCTGCGAAATTTGGTTAGTAATAATACTTACAATAATAATAGTTGTAGTAATAGTATTTTTGTTATTGCTAAATGAAAATGTAAATTAAATTGTACATAAAAAATCTGTCAAATTTTTACTTTAAAATAAATATGAACTACTTATAACAATAGAATTATAATTTATAACAACTTATTATAATCTGTTTTTAAAACATTAATAACATTAAGTGTTTTAAGTCATAAAATAAATTGCATGTAACTTTTATTGCACTATTTTTTTTTTTACTGTTTTTGTGTGGAAACATGCAGCACATTAAGTAACAATTATTAATTATTACAAAAATATCAATAACTAATCATTGTAATTTTATATTTTAAATACTATAAAGCTTTATGGTCTTTACTCTGAAGCATGCAACATGTATATTAACTATAACAATGCTTAATTAGATGATTACAAAAAGTATGAATTTTATAACTAAAGTATATACAGTGGGGCAAATAAGTATTTGATACACTGCCGATTTTTCAAGTTTTCCCACTTACAAAGAATGTAGAGATCTGTCATTTTCATCGTAGGTACACCTCAACTGTGAGAGACAGAATAAAAAAAAACAATCCAGAAAATCACATTGTATGATTTTTAAATAATTAATTTCCATTTTATTGCATGAAATAAGTATTTGATACAATAGAAAAATAGAACTTAATATTTGGTACAGAAACCTTTGTTTACAATTACAGAGGTCAGACGCTTCCTGTAGTTCTTGACCAGGTTTGCACACACTGCAGCAGGGATTTTGGCCCACTCCTCCATACAGGTGTTCTCCAGATCTTTCAGTATTTGATACACTGCCGATTTTTCAAGTTTTCCCACTTACAAAGAATGGAGAGATCTGTAATTTTCATCGTAGGTACACCTCAACTGTGAGAGACAGAATCAAAAAAATAATAAATCCAGAAAATCACATTGTATGATTTTTAAATAATTAATTTCCATTTTATTGCATGAAATATGTATTTGATACAATAGAAAAATAAAACTTAATATTTGGTACAGAAACCTTTGTTTACAATTACAGAGGTCAGACGCTTCCTGTAGTTCTTGACCAGGTTTGCACACACTGCAGCAGGGATTTTGGCCCACTCCTCCATACAGGTGTTCTCCAGATCTTTCAGGTTTTGGGGCTGTCGCTGGGCAACACGGAGTTTCAGCTCCCTCCATAGATTTTCTATTGGGTTCAGGTCTGGAGACTGGCTAGGCCACTCCAGGACCTTGAAATGCTTCTTACGGAGCCACTCCTTAGTTGCCCTGGCTGTGTGTTTGGGGTCATTGTCATGCTGGAAGACCCAGCCACGACCCATCTTCAATGCTCTTACTGAGGGAAGGAGGTTGTTGCCCAAAATCTCGCGATACATGGCCCCATCCATCCTCCCCTCAATACGGTGCAGTCGTCCTGTCCCCTTTGCAGAAAAGCACCCCCAAAGCATGATGTTTCCACCCCCATGCTTCACGGTTAAAAATAAATAAATATTTTTATTTATTTTTTACTCTAAAATGCAGCACACATTTCATTAAATCTCAGCCTTGGCGATTTGTTACTTACCATTAACTCCAGGAGTGGATGTTATTAAAGCGTGTGGCCTCAGTCCGACCCTGAATCTCCTCTCTGGCCTTTCTTCAGTAACTTCAGACCCCCTGTAGTATGTGGCTTTGAGCCCTGGATAAACGAAGGGTTGGTTGATGTGAAAAACTCTGGCCAGCACTTGCACGGTACAAGTGATCAAGGGTTAGTGAAGTAACCGTCCGCTGAGACCAGGATCCTGAAGCGGGATCTTTTTTCAGGCTTGTGTGTTGTGAACGCATGGAGTGTGTGCCGTCTCTGCAGTGAATTTTAACAAGTGATGCACTGATGAGTTTTCATTTACAACGTACAAATTAGGGGTGCCTCGATTGATCGGCTACCGATCACTATCTGCCGATATTCGTTTTGGGATGTTTGATTAGTGGTCTCTAAAAAGGCCGATCTCAAAAAAATGATCTCAAGCTGATGACTCGTCTGCCATGCGAGGTTTGGCACGACATACAGCGGCGACTCAGTCTCTGTCTGGCGCGGGTTAAATAATTATAATGCTGAAGGTGAGGTACAATTCATATTTCTTCATAAAATAACTCGTAAAGTCATTTGAAAATAGTGTGAGTGAATCACCGCACGCTCTCTCTATTTCACTCAAAATGCGCAAATGGCTTCAAATCACGTTTCGCCTGCACTATAGGGCCTTTCGCACCGCGGGAACCTTTTCATAGTACCAGAACTAATTGTGGAACTACCCACTTTTTGGCGTTTTCGCACCGCCGGAACTGGGTGCGATTTTAGTACCGGACTGCCTTTTTCGAGAACCAAATTAGCTCCTACTCCGGAGCAGGGTCTAACCAGCACAACTGGTAACAGTGTTTAAACCATTCAGTACTCGCGCTCTCTCCTGGAGACTGTGCGCTCATGCACACTCGAAGCGCACACACATAACGCCAGGTTCATACATTCTCCGTTTGCAGTGCTTTTTTTTTTTTTTCACTTTCATGTTAACGGATCTTAAAGCGTGCACACGGTAGCGGTCCGGAAGTGCGTTCCATGAGCGGTGCGTCTGCAGCAGTACAGAGATCATTTCTGCTGCACACGCTGAATTAAAGTGACATTTAAAGCGCATTGTTTGCTGTAAATATGAAAACGAAAATGTAGTAATTACACCATAAATGCATATAATTAAAGTTTGCTGTGTTTCACAGTCAACACATATGGCTTGTTGGCTAGGTTTAAAGGAAAAGAGCACTTTTAGATAAACATGCAACAATTGCATGAGTGTAAAAACAAAAATGCACTTCATGATCAAACATTTAGGTGAGATAAATATATATTTTTGACCTCCACCCCTCAAATAAAAAAATCCCCTCTCACAAGAGTCACCTATAAGGGGGAAATTCCCCCCATTTTCAAAAATGAAATTCAGGCCCTGAATAAATTTCTAAAAATTCTGATTGGAGTATTACTATAAATAATTCTACATGATAAAAATAAGGCTTCAAGACCAGGAAGCAGATACTACTTTCTGTGATCGGCCTCAAAATCCTGATTGGAGCACCCCTAGTACAAATATTTTTGGTTACTAAAATTTCAGTGCATCACTAATTTTAACATGCAATGTGATTCAGCACTAACGGCACTGCTGCTCTCTGTGAATTTGGACCCTGATGCATTGCTGTTTCTTTCTGACTCATGCTTTTATTCTCAGTGCATCTGCTTTTTCTCTTTTAGGGACATGGATTCGTCTCGCGCTCCTCTGAGTGAAGCTGAGTTTGAGGAGATCATGAATCGTAACAGAGCGATATCCAGCAGTGCTATCTCGAGGGCAGTGTCAGATGCGAGTGCAGGTGCAAACACTTACCCATAGCATGAATGTTTGGTTTGGTTTGCCAGGTGGTAATTAAACACACTCTGTTTTTGCAGCTGATTACGGCAGTGCTATAGAGACTCTGGTGACGGCCATCTCTCTGATCAAGCAGTCGAAGGTTTCTGCTGACGACCGCTGCAAAGTCCTCATCAGCTCACTGCAGGACTGCTTGCATGGAATTGAGTCCAAATCCTATGGCTCTGTGTCGAGGTAAAGATCTTGTGGATCTACACAGTATTTTTGTGTTTGCTGTAGGGGATGCATCATTATGTTTGCATGAGTGAAATGTCTTTTGAGATCACTTTTCTGCTGATTTAACCAAAGTAATGAGTGGGAGTAAAAATCTGATTTGATAATCCAGATTAAAACGATACAGTCCCACCCTGTATATTGTTAAATGTTTCAGTATAAAACGGTGCATATGAAATTGCTTCTTTGCAAAATTTGGTGCATTGCAAAATTATGGATGTAAAATTGATGCATTGCATCATAATTTGGTGCAATGTGTAAAAATGGATGCAAAACTAATGCATGCAAATTTATTTAATGTAGCCTATTAATGCATTGCAAAATGATTCATGAAAAACTGATGCATTGCTAAATAATTTGGTGCAACGAAAAAATAGATGCAAAAATGCATGCAAAATTATTTAATGTTTTTCATTTTTCATGCAGTTAAGTAATTTTGCATGCATTATTTTTGCATCCATTTTTACGTTGCACCAAATTATGTTGCAATGCATCAAATAGATTTGCAATGTATCCAATAATTTAGCTTGTATTGTAAAATTTATGCATGTGAAATTGATGCCACGCAAAAAAAATGCATTCAATTTGTGTATTAATTAAATGTATTGCAAAATTTCACGCATGTAAAAAATATTTGCATTGCAAATATTTTCATGAATGCTAATTTATTTGGTGCATTGCAAAATTATTTCATAAATATAAAATAATTTGATGCAATGCAAATTTATTTGGTCCGTTGCAAAAGTATTACTTGCTGTTTCATATTCTCTTTAATGCTTTTCGACCTTAAGCAGACGGGAACGGTCCAGGGAGAGGGACCACAGTCGCTCTCATGAGAAGCATCGCCGCAAGTCTCGCAGCCGAGACCGACACGAGGACTATTACAGAGAGCGCAGCCGCGAGAGGGACCGTCATCGTGAGAGAGACCGTGACCGCGAGAGAGACAGAGAACGTGAGCGGGAGTATCGCCGTTAGTTGGAGAGGAAGGTGTGTATCCTGTTTGTCTCTCTGTCTTTGTTTTTCTCCCATCTTTCTTAAGGATTCAGATGTACATGCATCTTATCCTGCAGAGGTCGGGACAACAGGTACGTGATCAGAAAAGGTGAGTCCCTGAACCTATAATGTAATGACAAGTACTATAATTTTTTTCCTCCTACAGCTAATCTATTTTTTTCTTCTTTTTATATACGAATGTAGCATGATCTGAGTACTCTGATCCTTAAAACTTGTGTACCTGGTCTTGAGGCCGTTTAATGTGCAATATCAGCTCCAGCAACCATAAACTGTCCCACAATTGTTGATGATATCCAGTTTGTCTTTGAAAGGATTTTGTGTATTTCAGCATTTTATTTAAAAAAAAATCAAAATGCATTTGCATTTTAAAATGCAAGTTATTGCACTTATTTGTCCATTTAACTGAGATTTGCTGCTACTTTTGAGACTATGCCAATGTCAAACAACACTTCCCTCCTTATTTTACCTAATTGACCAATTGCTTGCCAAAAAATTTTTTAATTCAGGATATTTCATGCCTTTAGAATTGCGATTATGAAATATAAATTCAACGTGTGACCATAAATGTATAGAAAATTGGTTGAAGTTTGATGAGAGAAAATGAATGTATTGAAATGAGCAAAATTGTTTCTCAGATTGTACGTTGACATTCCTGCAGGCAGATTTGATGTTGACATAATGGTTGTTCTAGTGTTTAGTTCCTCACTGATTTGTTGTGAAAAGCAAATGAATGGAGTCAAATTGATCTGCTTTGGCATTTAAAAACATGAAGCTTGTAGTCTGTCAGGTTGAGTTGTCATGGTGTAGGCAAATTAAATTTTTCATGTGTAAGGTTCAGTCTTGAGCACATCTGTACAGTATAATTTAAGAAAACGCATTCTGAATGTCCTTTGTCAGAACAAGCTAAATGTATTTTTACTGTCAAGGGTCATTTTGTGCATTCTAGTATTTCAGTCACATCTAGATCGACAATGTCAGAGTAACACCAGTTATGCTTTTCATTTTATATCATCTCCTTTAATGCTTAATGAATGGAGAAGAACTGCTATGTTGCTTTTCCAGAGGTAACATGAAAGTTTTTAGCATTTTTATGCTTTTTTGTTTCTTATTCTCTTGGTAAACACACATGTTTATGATGATTTAAGTTTGATTTAATATGCAACAGATATTTAATAAATATTTTCACAATCAGCATTTAAATGAATGCAGCACATGTCCTCAGTTCAAACCCTGTTGGTCTGATTTTAGAAACTCATTACTGTCTAACCTGTTGCTTAATGGCTCTGCTGTGTGACGGTGTTTCCTACAGGCTAAATTTGTACATAAATGTAAATTTGTACATAATTTGTGTGTAAATGCTGAGGACACTGTAATATCATGTGTGATGCATTGTGAGTGACCCCACATATGCTAGATTTAGATGCAAAAAAAAATACAAAACAGTTAAAGTAAAACTGCAACTCAGGTTTAGCAAATAGATTGTAAATATTTTGTTGAATGTAATTCTGGTAGCCTCCAAATTGTTGTTCTGGCCTCCTATCCAAAAATATGGCCAATTATTCAGGTGTTTGTTTGTTTTATTGTTTTTTCTGTGTTCTCAACTGTACAACCTAGAATTGTAGCAACACCAATCAGAGAAAGTCAGCAATGCACAATTTGCATTTTGATTTGTTCCGCTGTTATTAATTCAGAAATCATGTTGCACTTTTAATACGTGTTTTTAGTCTAAAGTATGCATCAGGTTAGAGATTTTGAATAGAGATTTTAAGCACTGCAAACTTAAAGGAATTGAAAGCATTTGCTCCATGCGTAGAGCCCGGTTCCATTGGATTTATTGGGATTTTTGAATGTAGTGCCCATTTGTCTGGAGTTCATTTGCAGAAATGACTGTATTCCCAGGTTATTTGTGTAGGTTTTTCTGAAGTAATGGTCCTGACGTGGTATTAATCACACCCCTTTTCCTCTGTTCACTATTGTGCTTTATAAGATGCTGTCACAGGATTGGACAAACTTGTGTTTTTGTGATCGTTACAGGTACTAGTAATTGTAATTCCAAACACAAACTACACTGTAACATACTTGACAAATTCAGTGCAAGAATTTCCATGTTCATGTCTAACTTGCTAAATATTTTTTGTATTAAAATGGGCTGAAATACCTGTGAATGACTAAAGACACAAACTGATGTTTTAATAAGAAATCACATCTTTTGTACGTTTTATATTTTGTCCATTTTTCTTGACTAACAGAAGGGCAAAGTATGATTAGTCGCTGAATTTTGTCCAACCCTGTGTACTGTAACTCCAGTGTCCACTGAATCACTAGAATCAAGCAATTTAGTATAGAACTTTTTTTTTTAATCAACTCTTTGCAATTTAATTTCTGTTCAGTAGAAATTATGCATAAAATTGTAAACAATTGTAAATCGTTGCATCTTAAAAACAAATGCTTTTTGCTTTGGGAGTGGATCAAATTTAAAATGTGGATTTGATGCTTGTTCTCAAGAGGTAAAGTGGACACTATACTTTGTGCTTCACAATTTTTGTCAATGGAGGGAAATATTAAGAGTTAGTATTTTTCCTATTGTAGAAAAAAGAAAATACAGGTTAGCATTTCCAGTTTTGTTCAGTTGAAGTTGAATAACTAGTTAAATACTCTAAAGAATCTTAAATGATTGGATTATCGATTCATTGAGAAATTCGGTAAAAGCCAACATAAAATGCGTTGTTTTTAAGTATGTTTGTATTTTGGCAGTTTACCATGTGGACTTATTGCCCATGATCGAAGCATTATTTTGCCGACGTGAAATTTGAATGTTATTTTGACACCTTTTAGATGTGGTGTTCCATTAGATATAGATATGAAGTATGAGCACTAAGTGATTTGAAGTAAATCACATCTGCTTATATAATTGATTTTACCTGTGAAATTGATTTTGTGCAGCAAGCAAAAAAACTCAAAATAATTACTAGTTAGTCTTGTTAGAAGCCATTAGAGATTATACATGTTTTACATTGAGACAAACCAATCAACCAAAATAATGTCAATCAGTATCATCATATAGGGATTTTTATGCAATTTAAATTGCATATGTGCATAACCTCGTATTCTACAGATCCAGCTCATGCATGCACTTTTTCTGTACTTCATTGCAGTGGAATAGCAATTTTTCATCCTCTATTACTTTTTTTTTTTTTTTTTCCTCATCTTGTTCCAAACCTGTATCCTTTTGTTTTATGGAGCTTTTTGGCTAAAATGTACTTTAAAAATACAACACTACCAAATGTATTTCAAATCTCACTCATTCAAATCTCGTGTTGGTAGTACAGATGCTGATTTGTATGGATTTGTTTTGGTTGATTGATTTCTCAATGGGACTAAAAGCCATATATTTTCATATGACTCTACTAATGCATATTTTGCCAATTGGTCAACTCGTATGAATTACAGTTTTGATGTGGGGTATTGTGCATTTGAATGTTATAAATTTTATCATTGTCATGGACGAATAATAGACATCAGACAAGATTAATTGCTAATGATGATTTTAAAGAAATAGTTAATCCAAAAATGAAAATTTGCTGAAAATCTGTTCACTTAAGCCATCCAGGATGTAGATGAGTTTTTCTTCATCAGATTTGGAGAAATGTAGCATCACTTGCTCACCAATGGATCCTCTGCAGTGAATGGGTGCCGTCAGAATAAGAGTCCAAACAGCTGATAAAAACATCACAATAATCCACAAGTAACCCACACCACTCCAGTCCATTAGTTAACATCTTGTGAAGCCAAAAGCTGTGTTCATAAACAGATCTATCATTAAGATGTTTTTGTAACTTCAAACTGTTGCTTCCTTATTTTAACAGCTAAACTATGAGTCCATAATAACGCTTCCTCTAGTGAAAAGGTCCATCTGCTACTGTCCTCTCATCAAAATCCACCTACATATTTGTTTGGCACTTTTTTGTACCATTTTCACTGGTAAGCATTGCTTGATCTGTGCTTATTTCTCTCCTGATACAGACAAATGAGTTTTTCATTGGAGGAAGCAATATTTCGGATAGAGGACTTGTTTGAAGTGAAAATTCTTTACCATGAAATTGTTTTCGTTTCACAAGATGTTAACTGATGGACTGGAGTGGTGTGGATTATTGTGATGTTTTTATCAGCTGTTTGGACTCTCATTCTGACGGCACCCATTCACTGCAGAGCATCCAATGGTGAACAAATGATGGAATGCTACATTTCTCCAAATCTGATTAAGAAACGAACTCATCTACATCTTGGATGTCAAATTCCGCAAACTTTCATTCCTGGTTGAACTATTCCTTTTAAGTAATGTCCATCAGAGTGAAAATGACGTATTTGCTGAGTTGTGTTGCAGTGTTTCATAGTTGTGCATGCCAATGTCTTTATGATTGTGTCGTCTCTTCACTCTGTATTTATACACTGAATCCAGGGGCTTGTTTCAAATACAGTGTTTGTTATTGACTGCCGTTAATGTTGTACCTTTACTAGGGATGTAACGATTCACTCAACTCGCGATTCGATTCACGATTTTTTTAACAAATGAGATTTAAGACAAATAAATTAAATGTGTCCTTTTATTATTGCTTGGACAAAATGCTGCTCATTTCTTTGTGAAATTGAAATATAACACTATAATATACTAATATAGCACTTGCATTTTATTGCTCTTTTGTTGGTTTTGATTGCTTCTATTGTCTTCATTTGTAAGTCAATTTGGATAAAAGCATCTGCTAAATGACAAAATTTAAA